TCATTTGCTCTCCAGATAAACTGTATTTAAAAGAAACACCGGTAGATTTTCGGAATCGTGGTTTTTTTTGTCCGCATTTCTGACGCGGTTTCTTAAATGTTAAATCTCAAATGTCATTGCTGTCATTAAAAATCAAATTTTTAGTCCACACATTGAAAATATTTTGTCTCTTCGTAGCAGTAGGTGACGGCTCTATCCGCGTGCTTCTGTCTAACAAGTTCTCTTGGGAAATCTTTGGTCCTTTAAAACTATTTTATTTTCAATGCTCCCTCTGAAGAAGAGAACGTGATTATGTAAATTAGGTCTACTATATATAGTCTAAGCTTTCCAGCTAATGAGGGAGAGAGAGATAGAGATATGATACATATTTCTAGTGGATAAGTGATTAATTAAATTTATAGGGTAACGCGAAGGAGAAGACCAAGGAGTCCTTAAAATGAAACGAAATTTTACATCGACTTATGTCAAAGTAATGACTACTTTGACATAACTAAATGATTAGAAAATCAAAGAAAAAGGATCATGGATTTCAGAGAAAAAGGCAAAAGAACAGAGGATTTAATACCCTTTTGAATCCTTTCTAGCGCGAATGGGTAATACGATAGGGCATTGAGGCATACAAGTTCTGTATGATGTCTTCTGACATTTCGTTCCATAATTTCTGTAAACTTGCTTCTTGTTCGTTCAAATTCGTGGGATGCTCAACTCGCCGTCCCAAATGATCCAAAATATGCTCAATTGGAGACAAATCTGGGGTTCGGGGAGGCCAAGGGCGGAGACAGTCTTGTGATACCCTTGCCGTCTGAGGCCGAGCATTGTCTTCTTGAAAATGGCTCCTGCGGGCCGTTGCATGAGTGGCAACACATTTGGTTGCATGATGTCATGGACATACCACTGGGTTGTCATGGTGCCACAAATCAATACTAGGGGTGACCGTGTATTGTAGGCATTGGCACCCCATACCATCACAGCTGTGGGAGCGGTGTGCCGCCGTAAAGCAAATGCAAGATTGAGGCGTTCACCAAAAGGTCTCCACACACGAACAAGATTGTCATCACTGCTGAGATTGAATCTGAATTCGTCACTAAAGACGATCTGGTTCCATTCCACTGCAGTCCAGTTTCTTCGTGCACGGCACCACTCCAAACGGAGGCGTTGATGGGTGGGAGTCAAGGACATCATACGTAATGGTTCCAAATGTGCTTCAGCCAGGCGCCTTCGTATGGTTCGAGAAGACACAGGAGCCCTAGTAAAGGTGCTACCTGTGACTGGAAGCTGTGACTAGTGCTACCTGAACCGATGAAGCAGTTGGCTTTAAGCGTTCATTTTTTAAGATGTGGCGGTCTTCTGGTTTGTCGAGGGTGTCCTGAGCTTGGTCTTCGTGGAAATGACATCTCTCGAGTCCACTGGTCCCAACACCTCCTCCCAACACAATCAGAGAGGCCTAATTGACAAGCTACTCTCGCCTAGCTGACCACTCAGATTCAATCATGCCGATGATTCTTCCCCTCTCAAACTGCGACACCTGCTCATATTGTCTTCGAAAACGGCGTAATGGCATGTCTATCTCAGCTCTTCCTTTGTAAATGATTCAGCACACTTAAACAAGCTTTGGTTGCCTTTTTTATACTCCACGGATAATGACTTTAAAGATCTCTACCAGCTATACATAATGCGCAATCACGCTGCATTTCTAATCATTTGCATATCTTCTCGACATGTACATTCATGTCAAGTTTCGTTACGATCCCGCAATTACTTTTTGGTGCGCTAATTTTTTTTGTCTATGAGTGTATAATAGTTATTATGTTACCTACCTTTGCTTCGGCTTTATTATTATTATTACATATGTACATACATACCTTTGAGATGATAATTCACTTGTAAACTCTTCTACTTGAAATAACAATCTATACGTCACAGCCAAAGCACTGGTAAGACGCCAAATTGTCTTGAGCCGAAAGCGAATTAAAACCTACATAAAAATATCAAATGACGGCGTCATTCGAAAGCTTTTGGTGGACTGATGGCAGTGACGACGCATGTCACGGGGGAGGAGTGCGGTGAAAAGAGAGTACAGTTGGCTTAGAGATAGAAACGGTGCTAATCCTCGTTAATCGATTCAGAATGATTTTTTAATTTTTTGATAAAATGAATAATATTTACGTATTGAACTAAAGAGCCACAGCTTCACGTCCAGAGTCGCATGTGGGTTGCGAGCCGCAGGTTGCCGACCTCTGCATAGGCATACAAAATTTTAGCAACTTTTCTGATTTTGCGTGCAAAATGCCATATTTGAAGGAAGAATAAATCATAGTGGCAAACAAAATAATGACGCATAGAATATGGAACGAAGCAGAAAAAAGCTTTATTTTCAAAATGCCGTTGTTTCCAGACACTGTCTGGCGAAAAGAGAGAGCAACAAAGCAAAATCCCTTTGTAAGGGATAAGAGCACCTTTAACTGTAATAGTTGCGGGGCATAGCCTGTTCAAATCCAAAACAAAATCATTCAAATGTTCTAGAACAAAGGTTGGTAAACCGCGGATCTTTGTATGGAAGGTTGCAGTTTTTCACTCTTCTGTCTCTATGAATTATTAAAAAAAACTACTAATATAAAGAATAAATAAGTCAATTCCTGCTTAGGTCAACAAAGAAAAACTTTACTTCAGTTACTTTTTATTCAACAGTAACAATCAATATAAATATGTATATACATATGCCAGTAATTACATTATTAAATGGCAAAATAGAAAGCGATTTTTCTTGCATTTTTCCCTTCTATAGAGGGTGTTTGACTATTATTTTTGTTTGTGACTATTTATTCATTCATTAAATTTAATTATTCCGACAAAATAATATAGTAAAAGCAAACCACTTTCTCAGAAACTAGGCCATTCCAGGTGGGATTCAAATCCACGCTCTTTGGATTAGAAGTCCAACGCTCTATCCATTGAGCTACAGGGACACACAATGAGCTCTTTTTCTTATTATATATAGTGCTGGACTGTTATTTTTGTTACTATTCATTAACTAATTAAATGGAATTAATGAGTTAATATTTGAAAAAACTCTATTAACATTAAGTGTCATCCACTACAAGTTTAAAAAATGCATTTGAACTTGAGTGGATGAATAAAATGTACCTTATTAACGATTGAAAATATGAAGAAGATATATATACACATGCAGGGAGAGTGTGAACTCATATTAGGAGTTGAATGATACGTAAAATGAAGGTGTTCAATTTATTGAAATGTCTCTTAATTCCGTGGATCCAAATCCACAAGCGACCGAAGGGTTGCTACAGTTTTTAATCTATGTTAATTAAAACTTTACCATTGGATGAATAAAAAGTATTTTATTAACGATTGAAAATTTAAACAAGATATATATATATATAGTAAAATAAAATAAAAGGGAAGAAGTACTAGAACCTACAGTGCTAAAGCAGGAAGAAATTGGAATTCACCATACACAACAAATGTAGAAACAAAAAAGTTTTGGGACTAAACTGGAGACCTATTATGATTTCTATAGCTGTCACTGAATTAGGCAAGCGAATTAGGGTTAGCAATGCTTTATGGATCCAACTTTCCCCGTGAAGCAGAAATTTTCGACATAATAGGGGAAAAAAACACCCATATGTACTCACTTCCAAAAGTTAAGCACGAAGATGTAAAATGAAAAGAAAATCAACAAATACTGCTTTGATTCAAACAAAATTTGGCAGTTAAGTCGCATATATATTTATACATAAAATAAAATCAATAATTATATACAGAAATGAAAATAATATTAAATTTTTTTAAGTTATCAGATAATGTCATACTGGAGACTTAAACAGAATTACGTAAAGTGAAAATAAACAGCATAAAATTAAAAAAAGGACATTAATAGGAAATGTGATCCCCCCTCATATGTATGCAAAGTATACACCTTCTGACCATGATTTAAATTAGGTGGTCAAACACCGCAGAATTAAGCAATCGCCATTCTTCTTTGGGGCTGATTGCTTGTTCCTTGGTTACGCCATATTCTTGTTCGCTTGTTATCTGGCTCCAGAGCAAATCTTGACTGATCAGTAAATATGGCATTGCCCCAGTCAGACACAGTCCAACTGCCATGTTCCCGGCACCACTTTAATCATGCCCCTCTTGATTGGACGGATAGAGGAACACAAACTCGAGGTACCCGGGCATACAGTCCATTCATATGTAATCTTCGGCGTACAGTAGCTGCAGATATAGCCTTACCAATGGACGCTGTAGCCATAGATGTCACACGTGTGGAGGTCACTCTGCGATTCCGCTTGGCTACAATAGCAATATATTGATTTTCCGCAGGGGTTGTAACCCTTGGCTGACCGCCTACATGCCTTTGGACAACTGTCTGTGTGGTTTGGAATTGTGTTCATAAACGCAAAATTACAGAATGATGAACGCCGAAGAAAAGAGAAACTTCTGTGATCGACTGTCCTGCTTTAATCTGCCCCACAGCTCGCCAGCGCTCAGAATCTTCCATTTGTTTTCTGGAAGTCATAGAAACACGTATGTCTTGAAAACAAATTGTACGAAAGTTTTAAACACCTTCTATCAGCTATTGCAATCAATTTCTGTAACCCTTCATTAAGCTGGCTTTTTATAAGACTACCCTTTTTGCATATTTCTTGACATGAAAGCACGATTGGCTGTTACCTAACATATTTACATACGTCCATCTACCTCTGCAGCGAATTGCATCCTCTTCAATTCTGATTGGTTTCCGCAAATTAGCATTTTCCTCTCCGTGCTTAACTTTTGGAAGTGAGTGTGTATATATATATATATATATATATATATATATATATATATATAGGGAGAGTGTGAACTACATAATAGAGTAGGAATTGAATAAATATGCTTACCAAAAATTGTTTCCCTTTCTCTTTTTCCTGTATAATAATCTATTGAAAAAATTTACCTGTATTTACATGTACTTTAAAATATTTGTCTGGTTTAAGGTGGTTATTGCTCTTTTAAATTCCCCTTCCCTCCAAGAAAAGTAGAGGGGGATCATAGTGGGTGCAAGGCGTTTTCAAATAATTCAATATTCCTTAAAACCGCTTTCCATTCCTCCCTACAAAAAAAAAAAAAAATAAATAAAAAATAAAAAAAAAAAAGGAAAATTTGGGCTCAGTGTTCTCTGACGAAATCATATTTAATTCCGTAAAATAAAAATGGTTGCTTCGCAGTGTTCCATCTAATAGAGCACCCAACTTCATTCGATGATTGTGCATGCGCTTTACATATAAGCTATTAAATATAATATAAAATAAAAAATTTAGAGTGTTAGCGAACAAAACAAAGTATAATTTCTTTCAAGCGATGTTTATATATAAAAAATTTATATAAGAAATCTGTTACAAATCCAGGGATTTATATAAATCATTGAAGAATAAAAAAGAAAACAACCGGCCTGTGTAACCGGATATCTATGATAAAAAAGGGATGATTCAAAGCAAATTGTAAATGTATTGTATTCATTTATAGTGAAATTTAACGGTTTGAAGAGCTTGTGGATTTATGTATTCCATGCCACTGAACACCGAAACACAAAGGCTTATACCTTACCAAAAAGGAATTATTTTTAGCTCCAGAACGAGGATTATGCCGATCAGCTGACCTTACAAATCATAAGAAATAAATCTTACTTTAACAGTTAAAAATACAGCCTAGGAAACAATTTCAGCATGAATAAGTATAGGTCGCCCCTCTTGAAAAATATAAACCGAGAAGTCCTCTTCTCGCTTGATCTGTTTCTTACTAAAACTCGACTTTCTGGGAGTTATTGAAAAGAAGATTACGAACAACATTAAAATAGGGTTGCAAATCTCTTCGAAAAATTCCAAGAACAATGCGTCCTCATATTGCCCACTCTACCACCTCCTCCTTTAAGTCTATCGTTTGGTAATCCTCATGAGAGAAAGAGTCGGAGGATAAAGTGAAAAGACTGCGTTTTCTTTGGGCTAGTAAAGTTCTTTGATTTATCGCTTTTTCTGGATTTAAGCTTCTGGGAAATCTTCTGGACAGATTCGATCTTCTCTAACTCGTAGAAGGAAAACTTGAATTTGAACGCACTTTTTGATTGTAGAATTTATTGTCACAAAAAGAAGAGGGAGGGGTGGGTGAAAGAACACAAGGCTTCTAAAAACTCTTTGTTCTTTAAGAAAGGGAGTATTTTGTAGCTTATAATGGAATAAAAAGTTGCCTTGTTTCAGTGCAAATGCATGATATAGATAGAAATCAAAAAATTTTCTCACCAAATAGAATTTTTTTTTATATTTAAATGTCAAGTTTGCATAGTAAATCTTTATTATAGAATTTTTTTTTTGTATTTTATTCATTCTTTTATAGTAATATATATATATATATATATATATATATATATATATATATATATATAAATACAGTCAAACCTTCATATAACGAACCACTATATTGCGAATTTTTCTATTATATAGAAAACTTTTTCCTGGAACCAAGGACATTTCACGATTTCTTTGTAGAATAACCTCCCAATAGCGAAGGGCATTTCCTATATTACGAACTTTCTCTCTTGTGATTCATTTTTTCTCTCCCCATTTTTGAAGTATTTCTGTGGGCATTTTGAGTTAGTCTCTCTCTTAGCACCTTTTATGGGGGCCATGAATCATTAACTGGTTTTATTAGGTTAGGTATTACTAACTCGCCGAGAGCAATAGAATTCTGGGCATTTCATCCAAGAAGTGCAAACTTTAATCCCCATTGTCTAAATCACTGGAAACATCTTCGATATCCCCTTTCATCTTTAGTTAAGTCTCATGTCTTTAGACTAGTCTCCATTCATTTGCAGTATTAATCAGTTGCACGTCTCTTGTAGCTCGAAAATGTCAAAAAATAAGTACTTGAGCATCAAAGAAAAAAAATAATTAATTCTTCAGGAAGTGGATAAAGACGTCAAGAAACTTTTCTTTTTTTTAATAGGTAAATATATAAAATATTTACTTATTTACAAAAAGGTGTGAATAATTACTTTTTTTAATATATAGTGTTTATAAATTTAAAATTTGTTTTATGTGGTTTATATTAAAAAAATTGAAAGATGAACCTCTATATAACGAATTTTTCATACAACGAACTTTTTTCGTGATTTAGCGACTTCGTTATATACAAGTCCGACCATATATATATAACTAAATTATATCTAAAACAAAATCTCCTATTTACCGTTTAACTTTTATTTTCCACATAACATCTGCGATGCTTAAATAAAACACGTAATTATTTCTCAGAAAAGATATTCTAAATATAACATTTTTAATCCCAGCTCATTAAATTTATAGTCTTTGTATGTACGCTTCCTCGTTTGAATTTGAAATCGAAAACATAAACTAAAAAGTGTTATTTAGCAATTCTGGAAATAAGTATGAGTAATTAGTATTTTCGAAATCCAATCAGTTCTTTACTTGGCGTTGACTTTTTCTCAGCGAAGTATGTATTGATTGCTCGTAAAATAAAACTGCTATTTACAAAACTGTTATATATATATGATTTTTCCCCAACCCTATAAGTATCAGTTGGGATAAAACCTACCAGAGCAACTCAACCCGCCTCCCGCATAAGCACTTTGACTTCGACTCCGGCGAACTTACGAAGAACCACGTGAACGAACGACGCACTGGCTCCTGATCGACGCTGAAAATAGGACTCGTTTTGTCATGGCTTGGAGTACAGATGGCTTTGCTGAATATTGAAATAAAATATAATATGATAAACGGCTGCACGTTGCATTTCTTCTGTCAATCCAAGAATTACTCCAATCCATGATATATATATATATATATATATATATATATATACAGTCGAACCCTCATTTAATAAATTAATTGGCACCAAACATTTTGTTCGTTAAAACGGGGTTTTCCGATATATCGGTGTCCAAACAAAA